ATATATTTTTTTTTTAATGGAAGAACTCTCGAAGATCCAGAGCTCCTCCTTCTGTGTGCATGGAGTTGGAGAAACACAATGTAGTAGGCCAGGAAACTGCCCACAAGTTAACCATCTCCCTTCCTACTGTGTTATGGTGTTAGAGGAGTGGTGTTGTGCTTGAAATCATTCTTCACCGGCTATGAATCACATTTTTTTCCACTCAAAACACACGGAAAACACTCTGAAACCATTAAACACAGCATACAAATGCTGATGATATTGTGTAACTACTTTGCAGCCACTAAATGAAAACAAAGAGCTCTTCTATCGGCCCACATGTCCTTCCGTAGCTGCAGCACTGGTGTACGACAAACACGTACACAGAAAAATCACAGCTGAAGAAAAACTATGTGTCCACCTTCACTGTGGAACACAAGGCCAAATAGTGAATATCACAACTGGTAAAAGGGGCATGAAGTTTGCCAAAAGGAACGTCCCTGAAGATCCCCACCAGGAAGATGACTAGGCTCCAAGCCAACATACCAACTAATGCGAAGAATATGCATGACTAAAAGAATGTTCTTTCTCTCATTTCTCTGTTATTTGTTTCTCCACCTTCTGCAGCTCACAGTATCTATGCCACCCTAAAGGCTGACAGCTTTAGGTGCAACAGTAGGCATGTACCTGGTATTTAGGGCACTGAAATAAAAGCATTCTCACCCCTCACCAAAATACGCTATCTCCTTTCGCTCCTGAGGGCACAGAGGAAGGACAGACCCTCACACAAAGGCTCTTCAGTGACTTTTTAAGGAAAAACCTTAAAAAATGGTTAAAAAACCCCAAACAAACTGCGGAAAATTTGTGAGCAGGAGAGACAAAGTTGGATATGAAAAGAAGGACTCAGAGGGCGAAAGGAGAAGAGAGAAGAATTTTTCTTCATGTGATCAGAGGGAAATGCTCCCTGGGGTGATTTCCCTCTCCTTTTAACCTCCTCCTAAGCCTCACATTCAGCCACATAAGTCTAAAGCATCTTCCGGCTCCTCGCCATCTGTGCGATGACCCCAGCACACATGAGACCACCTACACGAGGCTCACCAATGGAGAGTCAAAGAGCCCTCCTCTGAAACCCTCACTATCACACCACCGGAATTACCACAGATTTCAGCTTCTTGCACATGAAAATGACCTGGGGAACCCATTAAATTGATAGAGAGATTATTAATGTTTTAGGAATGTGACTTTCCCACTGTCTAGCCAGTTCGATTTACCAAAACTAGTACATGAGTTACACACATTGGAATTTTAGTAATAATTAATCCTTGACCTGTTCAAAGTGCTGTACAAACATTAACTAGCAAATCCTGAGGATAAACATGCACTGTACGTAACTAAAAACCCCACCATGAACCCCCACAACACAAAAATGAATATCCAACCACCCCACCTGGAAACCAGATCTGGCCTCTTCTGGGGAGGGGAGAAGCAGTGTGATAAATGCAGTACCTCGTGCCGGGCCGCTGAGAGTCACCAACCAAGTCACTAACTACCCAGATAGGAAGGTAAGAGTTCCTGACTCCCAGGCCTGTGCTGGTGCCTCTAGGGTACAATACTTTTTAGCTCCTGATGTCTCTCTCATTAAGTTTTGCCTGCGATAGCCTGCGCAGAATCAAGAACTCCAGGGCAAAACAAATGACAACAACAACAAGGAACCAAATCAACCAATAATACAAGAAACACTGTCAAAAGATTATTCGAAAAGTCCATTTATGAGCTTACAGACAATACCTTGGTGGCACGTATCTGCCTGTGAAGGTCAGTTAGTTGTTGGATTTTGTATTCTAGTTCTGAAATCTGGGCTTGAAGCCATGTCCAACGGCTGCCAATTCTAGCTCTGTCTGCAAGCCACTTCCATTCAGAAGTATAGCTGCTGTGAAGACAAAATGCTGGTTAGTCCAAAAATAAAGATAACCACATTTGCACAAGAACATTTTTGACAGCTGCTCTGCCTCATGTTGCAAGCATCTCAGTTGCTTTCAGAAGATATCTGATTATCCCCATCCAGTTTCACATCAGCTTATTTCTGTAACTACGGAACTTGCCCGAACCGGTACGATCAATATCCGCTGGCTGTTCCTAGGCTGAGCCAGCTTTTGGTTCTGTATTATAAAACCCAGTGCTGGAGAAACCACCCAACTATATCAGTTAATGCAGATTGCAGATTTGTAGTGAATTCCAGTAACTCCACCAGCAAGAACCCAAATTCTTACACCACACTTCCTCCCACAAGCTTGCTAACAATTGGAATCTAATAAAACACCATCCAGCAATGACCAGCTAGATATCAAGTCACTGCCCAAAAATACAACTCAGTAGTTGGGATTTCTTTTATTCAAGCTATTTTATAAACATAGCTGTGCCATTATAGCATAGTTAGGTCACTCTTACTGCTGTTTACAAATAGGTGTATTTCCTAACGCAAAACATATGCCTCCCAGTACTTGACGTTATTAGCTTAACTTTATTCCGCTAAATTCATCACTGGTACCAGCAAACTTTACTACATATGAAATAAATGGATGACATAACAGCACCACTCAACAGATAATCTTCATATCGAGTAAGTTTAAGCAACAGAGACAACACAGTACAATATTTTAGCATGCAACTTCCACTAGTATCCTACCATTAACTGAGTTTGTTTATTTAAGGAAAATAACTGGCTTTCTTCCCCACTGAAGTTGTCAAGTAGTTAGCCACAGTTAACTGAAAAGAACTGTAAAAACAAAATCAAACCTCTTTTGGAAAACAAATGCTTTTACTCAAGGTACTGGGATAACTAACTACTGGATCTAAATCCTGGACGACACCGTATGCAAGTTCTGCACAGGCAGAACACATGATGCCCTGTTCCCCAGGCAATGAAGTCTACTGAAGTACCACCGAAGACACAAGAAAAAGCAGATGCCAGTGAACTGGCATAGGAACATCACACAGGTACAATTTTTTCATGCAGAATTTTGTAGTAACTGCCTCAACAATGAAAGAAAAGTAATCCTGCAGAAGATGATAGACATTTCCTGGCATGAGTAGAGAATCAACAAATTTGAGAATCCTAATATTTTCAGGCAAAGATTATAAAACATAACTCAAAATCTCAGAACTTTGAGTCTTCTTTAGCTATCATAAATATTAAGAATAGACAGCCTTAGACAGTAGGTTACTTGTAAAATACAGAATTTCCCCCTTTTTTAACATAAAATATCTGCCCAGATAATTCACAACTAGCAGAAACTCCCTCCTACACTGACAAAATGAACATATGAAATTAAGACAGAGGAGGACTGAAAGGTCCTGTTTAAACCCAGATTCTATGTGCAAGCAAATAAAGTGGATCTTCACCAGGAAGCAACTCAAAAGACGCCTATAAATATTTGCCAGGATAAATCATTTACATTTGATATATTCTATTAGTGATTTTGTCCTAGGAAAAAAAGGCATATGAAGTCATCCACTTTTCTGCCAACCCCTTCTTACTTCTCTTTGTTTTCTCACTACCACCAGCACGTAGTAAATAGCCCTGGTTACTTGGGCTTTCACCAGGCTGTCTTGCCAAGAACTTCTGTGGGATTGACAGCTGTTGCATGTTCGTGCTTCTGGAAGTCATGCAATACAGTTTGTGGGGGAAGGGGGGGACCTGAATTAATAGTTGCCCCAAATCAGGGTTCAAGTAAATGTCTTCACACAAGTGTGGTGGCTGGAACAGTTAGGATTTGTCTCAGGACCCTGGGATGGCAGAAAGTTAGTTCTAAGAAAGAGCTGCTTAATAAGGGTGTAACAAATCCCTTGGTTAATCATTTTAACAAAAAAAATAGGAATAAAGAGGATAACCAAGAATTCCTTTCTCAAAAGGCGAAGGAACAAGCAACACCACCCCACAAACCAGGACATTACGACAAGAAAGCCCAAGTGAAGGAAAATAAATCACACTGGCAGAATTACCTCCCAAGTTAGATGCAACAGCGTGGGGAGAAAGGTGACCTAGCCTCAAACAGCCCGGGGAAGACGGGGGAGCAAATGAGAAATGTAACTCGTGCTCACACAGCTGGGAAACAGGGATTGGAGTGGAAAGGGCCGGAGCTGATCTTCTGTCACATACGCTGTATGCCAGTAAGGGAATCCATAAGCAATACCACACCACAGCAGCTAACAGAACAACAGCTAAATAGTGCAACCTTAAGACAAACAAATCACATTCTTTGTATGTTACTGTCTTACATTTAAAATAAAATCCTCTGGAAAGTTACATCACAAGTTATTTTTTCCAAAATGTGTTTGCAGGTTTTTTCTTAAGCAATATTAAATCTTGAATTAATTGCGTTCACTGTTAAATATATCGTGTGTATTTTTGCTTCATTCTAAAATACTATTCAAGTATTTCTTAAGGCTTTAAAGTGCACTATATAATTAAACTAACAGGATTTAATTACACTGTAATAATGATGTCCTTAGGCTCCTGTAAGGAAGCTCCTGTAAGGAAGAGCTGCCATCAAACTAAGCACAAACATTTCAAACTCATGCCAAAGGAAGCAATTTTAGCTCCTCGCTCCTGCCAGCCCAGGCTGCCCCATGCCCAGCACCTGCACAAGCAGCTACATGGTGACCTGGATTAGAGAGTTGCTGACGGATAATTTTAGCTTCAGAGGCAGGGTGAACGAAGCAAGTTTAAATGTAGAGCCCTTTCCCGGTTTTGATGCCTTGCAGGCAGACGGACTCACACTTCTGCACTGCCACGAGGGAAGGGGCAGGAGGCTCAGGGCAAGGCAGTGAGTGAGGGCTGACATTTTTGGGACAGGAGGAGGTGAGAGCACTGCTGAATTCTGTTCCCATCTCTGTCACTCCTATTCAGTGTATCTTGCAATATTTCCTTTCCATCTTTGCCTCTATCTCTCTTCAAACCATTTAGTAAACCTTGTAAGGCCTCAGAGGAAGATAAAATCACCATAAGCTGTCCTCACACTCCTGAAGTGAGCTGTTTGCATGCAAAGAGTATGGTCACTCGAGTGACAAATGATAACCTACTACTGCAATTAAAAAAAATATAATAAAAAAGACTGTAGATCTGCTCCTGGGATGTTAGAGAACAGCTGTTGTGAAGAAAGCTGCTTCAAGGTGGCACCGGTGAATTAATTAATGCTGCAAAAAAAAGCAACCAACCACAAAGGGTTACAAAAATAACCAGGCCTGTTACAGAAGGAGGAAGTCAGAGCAGGTGCTGAAGTAGAAGCTCCTGCTCTGGTTCTCTGTTGGGAATGAGACAAGAAAAAAAGACAAGTTTCTGTCTGTCCTGCTTCCTGTGAGCTCCTTTTGCAAAGCAGCTTTCCTTGGTTTCTCTGCTTTCCACTCTTAACATCATACATCCTCCATAGGATCTTCAAATGCCTTCTGCTGGTAACTCAATATAAACCATGCTACATTTGTAAGAGTTTCGCATGTTCAGTCCTGCAGTACAGTGAAATACTAAACTTAGGTATAACCTTACTGCTCCTGCGGTGACTAAATCTGTAGACGATCCCCTGCATTCATCCAGGACTGTTGGAATTGGAAGAGAACAGAGCAACACTGACTTTGTATGAACAACACATCTCATCTAGCTTTCCCTAGAAAAACACGCTGGAATTGCATTAGAGGCAAAATTTGTTTCCATGTGAGATACTGGTGTGCACTTCCCCTGTTTTGGTTGAACTGCGGGAGGTCAATCCCACACAACTTGCGAGAGAAGAGAAAGAAAGAAATCCAGGAGAAGAACCAAGGCACAAGGAGCACAGCTACAAATGTAGACAGTCGCAGTAGGATCAAAAGCGTCACTAGGAAGCAGACGGCCCGGCCGTGCTGTGTCACCCCAAGGTACGGGAAAGGCTTGAGCTGGGGATTGCCGGCGGCAGAGGCAGCGTCAGCGTTTCAGCAGCGCGACTTGCTTTTGCCGAGACTGAAGAGGCAAGTGAAGAGCACTAAATAATACACTGCTATTACAGTCAGTGCTATTGCTTGAACTGAAAGAAGCATTTAGCCATCATCTATGGACTGAATATATGGATGAACCCCTCAGCTCTCTCACCTTCCCTGAAAGAGAAAAGAGAATTGAGAACAAACCCTGCTTTTACGCAAACAAACCCACACTGGAGAGTGCAACAGGACTATGAGGAGTATTTCCGGTGTCTTCATTATGTTGTAGGTGAGATTTATGTTTTTCCAATACCTCAGATCAGTCTGTCCCAAAACCCAAAGCCGGGCCACCTAACTGAGCGCAAAGGGGAACCACTAACCAAGATAAAATTGCTGTGCGAGACACAAACTGTCCTTTGGGTTTTGTGGGGTTGTTTTTTTCCTGTTTACAAGAGAGGAGAAGGGGTGGAATTCAAACCTTTTAGGCATATTGTATTTTTCTAAGTAAACAAAACAAGAAACCTGAAAAAGAGTTCATAAACAATGAAGGCGAAACAGAGTGTTTGAAATGCACAAAAGACACAGAAGCTGGGATCAACAGTAAGTGTTCAGGAAGGTCGATTCCAAAAGGTACGGTGGGCACAGGAAGCGTGTTTTAGAGCACTCAAGGCAAGATTCTCCACAAGTATCTTATATCTCGAAAATTAAAAGGAAACTGAGGCCTTCCAGCCTCGTAACTCCCAGTGAGAACGCGGAACGTGCCCCTGCCATGACACGTCTGCAGGGACAATGACAGGATGCTTCCTACTGGACAGGAAAGGAGGATGCTTGCAACACACACATTCGCATTCCAAAACACAAGTTTGCCAATCCAAAACACGGTCTCCTTCCAAAAGGTTTGTTTCAAAGAACACCAACGTTTTCAAGATGCAACATTCTTAAACACAAACAAGCCAGAGTGCAAGGCACCCACAGTGGGGGTGG